ATGAATTCGGACCGCACTCTTGTACATTGGCTTGATATTTTTTGACTTCCACTCGGATGGCAGCCTCCCTAATTCGAATGACGAACGGAAGATGTGTGCTGTTTGTTTGGAGATTTCGTTCGCCAATTCTCCCCAGAAGACTGTACCACTGGTTGTGGTAGGAAAACAAAAAGGGGCGAACACAAATATCATGCTCATTGGGTGAATAGCCGATGAAGAGTTTAGTTAAAAGTCTTTGTAAGCAGAACTTCGGGTTTCCTGGTGTGATCCGCGATAGAAAGGTGCCAGCTCCTGATGCTGCTAGCACCCGTGGTCGCTGTCTAGACATCTATTACACTAACTGTCAGTCTTCTCAGCAAGCTAGATGAACTCAGACTGCTAGTCTCTGAACAGTGGCCTCACAAAATTGTCCTTACGGAGACATGGTAACTGAGAAAGTAAGTAGTAGCGAAGACAGTACTGAAGACTACCAATGGTTCCGTTGTGACTGATTTCAAGGAAGACGAGGAGGCACAGCGACTTATGTGTCAAATGAAATTCTATGCTGTCAGCGAGAAATATCCAATGGGGCTCCGCGAAATTTTGAAATAATTTCATGCAAGATATGTATCAAACAATTACCGACACTGAACCTGTGTGTGGTCTATCGGCCTCCCGGCTCGAGTGAAATCGCCGATATAAAATTACTTGGTGCGCTTGAATTGTTATGTAAGCAGGAGAACTTACTACTTCTGGGTGACTTTAACGCTCCAGGAACAGACTGGAAAATTCCCTTAACAAACGCCCCATCCACTTCATTTGACCACAAGCTACTACAACTATCCCTGAATTAATACCTCCTTCAACACATAAAATTCAGAACAATACTGAGAGATGGACAATGATCTAACTGTTTTGATCTCGTTTTCAGTAAAAAAGAAGGAGTCATAAGATAAGTGAATCCAAAACCTCCACTCGTTTTAAGCGCGCATATTGCTTTAACCTTCGTGTGTTCTCTCCTATCGAACCAACTACCAAAAATCAAGAGGCACAGCAATATTTGAAAAGTTGAGTTTAACGCAATAAGACGTACCCCTTTGAACGAAACCTGGTTAGTCAAATGGAATATTTAGAAGAATTTTGGACATACTTTCGGAGAATTATAGAGCGTCTAACTGATTCCCATTGTCCAATAAAAATAGCAAGACCATGTGCGCGACTGCCGTAGGCCAATCCGACGACAAAAAAGACCATGAAGAAGAAACAGAGACTGTGGAATAAGTAGTTGCATCTTCGAGATCTAGTGTCATTCGCCGAATACAAGGAGTAGAGCAATAAATGCCGCAAACAAATACGGGTTGCTAGAACTTCTTACGAGCGCCGACTGATAACAGAATCCGTTGCATGTCCCAAGAAGTTTTACGGGTGCATCCGCAGTAGGAGTACATATAGGGACGAAATTGCATGTTTAACGGGTAGCCTCGGAAAATTATCAGTTGAAGGGCTGCAGAAAGTGCAATTACTGTCTTAATTTTTCCGATCGATTTTTACGGAGGAGTCCACTTAAGACAATCAGCAGTTTAAAATGGACCGAGACAGCAGGGAGCTTCAAATGCGCCAAGATACTGCCGTCATTGAAACCGTTGCCCATTTCGTCGAAGAAGTAAGACACGTCCTCAGTCAAATCAAGCCAGATGACTCACCTGGACCCGACGGAATTCCTGGGGTGATACTTAAGGAGCTATCAACGGAGCTGTCAAAACCTCCTTCGACTTTCTTTAAGCTGTCAATGAGAACAGGAAGGCTGCCTTAACAGCGGAAGACAGCTAACCTCGTTCCCTTACATAAGGGAGGTAGCAGGATGATAGCAAGCAGCTTAAGGCCTATTAGCTTAACTTGCATCCCATGCACAACGATGGAAGCTCTAGTAAAGAGCACTATACAGCAATCCTGTGAGGAAAATAACATCTTGCAAGATATTCAGCGTGGCCTCCGGGGAGGACGTTCCTGTCTCTCAATTCTGCTATCTTGTCTGAGGACCCGGACCAGGGCTCTAGAAGAGGGCTTTGAGGTCGGTGTTGTGTACATCGATTTCCGCAAAGCTTTCGATACTGTTCCGCACCAACGCCTTCACAAATTGAGTGCCATTGGCATCCGGGGAGATCTTCTGAACTAGATAAGGACGTTTCTGGTTAGTCGGAAAAAACGTGTCTGTGTCGGAGAGGATATGAAAGTATGGGTGAACGTGACCAGTTGTGCGCCTCAAGGCTCAGTCCCGGGACCATTGCTCTTCATCAATTGTGTTAATGACAGCCTTCAGGAACTGGACTGCGGCAAAATAATGTTCGCCGACGACGTTAAGTTCTAAAAAGTCATTATGAGTACTTACGGCCAGAGAACCCTTCAAGATTATCTGCACCGGCTGCAAGCGTGGTCGGAGAAACGGTTTTTAGATTTTAACGTACAGAAGTGTGCCGTCCTTCATCTGCGTCCAACGAACTCTCATTCAAATAAGAGCCCGAGGAAATATCACCTGGAAAATATTAGACACCCCGCAGAATGTGCACAGAAGTATCTCGGTGTTTGGATAGAGAGTAACATGAAACCAACACTGCCGTGCAAAAGGCTGCAAAAACGCCATGACAGTGCTGCATGTAACCAAAAGAGCTTTCGCAACCTATTAAAAAAAGAGCGTTTTGGGAGAGTTTACAGCACCTTTGTTTGACCCCACTTAGAATATGGCCTACAAGCGTGACGGCCATGGCCAGCAAAGGACCAAGCATGCCTCGGACGGGTACGACGTCGTGCAACAAAGCTGGTGGACGGGTTACAACGCCAATCTTACACAGAAAGACTGAATTGTCTTAATTTATTCCCTCTGTGTTACAGGCAAAAAAGAGGTGATCTTATCCTCGTCTACAAGATACTATATGGCCTTGAGCATGGACTTAGCTTCGAGGACCTGTTTCAGTGGCACACAACACACAAACTTCGTTGTCACTCAATGAAGTTACGGACAAAAATATCGAGGCGGAATCTTCGTTCTGAAGTTTTCACGCAGAGAGTAGTGGAGAAATGGAACGATCTCCATCAATCGGTCGTGGAGGCGACGTCTCTGCAACTCTACAAGAAACGCTTAGATGATTATTTGTGTCCCCTGTTTTCCCTCGACAGTCTGAATCTGAACTAAATACCCCACGATTCCCCAAACTTTTCTTACGAAACAATGCTACTCAAATGAATCAAGTACCGTTTTAATAGTGAATGTGTTCACTGCTCGTGTACAGTTATTTCTAACGAGTTGAGATGTAATCAATAGGGTTTTCAAATGCTTTGCCTATTATCCTTACCAAATAAACTGAATAAACAACCTACACGGTGTTATGAGTTGTCACGCAACTACACGTGGCCACCGACGAACTCTCCCATAAACAATGCCACTAGATATATCAGTAAGGAAAGGAGGTTGCAGGCACAAATCCAAGACCAATAAACGAACCGCATGTGTTGCCTCCGGTGAACGGTCTGCGAACTTCGGAGGCCAATTTTCCCGTCTGTTTCAAAATACTGCGTACTTAAGATTGCGTAATAAACAAATGAAGAATTCAGTATGGTTGACTCTGATGGGCGCCCAGCGGTTTTTGGTCATACGACACACCCACTAAGCAAAGCAAAGTAAATGATACATCTAAAAACCGTTGGATGGACACCAATGTCAGTTCTACCAAAGTTAGAATCCATTTAATGGCTTACGCAGCTAGTTTATCAAAGTTTTCTTCCAAATTATGTGTTGTAAACACGGCTTACTACGCTTCGAGTTTTAATGCAATCTGAATACATAATGGCACAACGAAATTTTTTTAGTCCAGTTGGATGCCGTGGTGTCAACAATTACTTTGTGATGCCTGCATTATTGGGAAACGTTTAATCTATCTATGAATGTCGCCAGGGGTTTCGTAGTCCCAAAGCTTTTGCAAAAACCGTCAATGAGTCACGCTATCATCGCCTATCTCAAACCGAGGAATATGACATCGATTGACCTATGTCTTTAACTGGCTCTTTTTGCGAGCAAGGACGGCTTGTCAGACACGAGCGACCACAACGTAGTCAGCGCTAGCCTTCATGGATTAGGGTTCCCTGCTCTAGATGCGTGGGGTTCGATGACTGAGGGGAAATCATGATTCTTATTAGTACTGATGGTCTGAGCATAATGTCCCATTCATAGTGCGTCATCATACTGTAATCGCCAACGTGTGATTGTCGAAATCCCTCAACTGAGCCTAGCCCATGCGGACCTGTAAAACACTTTGTGTGTTTCATACGCAGATGGACAGCTCAATTCTTCTGGCCATAAGCCCACGTCAACGCCCCGTTACCATTATTACGTTCTGCTACCAGAAGACTGTGAATGTGAGGGGAGATGCGGTAAAGACCTCACGATTCATCTTCATTAAAAAGAGAGTCACGCGCGGGTTCTGGATTTCGTGTACTTGTATGCAAATGATGGACGACGTCATTCGTGAGGGTCAAACATCCTTATCTCCTTGCTGGTCGTCCATATTTGATCTTTCTGTGTGAGAAGAGTACTGTCACATCCGACAGTCTCCTCTAAGCTTCTTACGCCTTTCTTTCTCACTGACGTCTTTCCATGTCGCATTAATGTGCCTTTAAACGTATCACTTGGGTCAGTCTCCATGTACGTTTTCTACGTAGCTTACTCTTGATTAACCTATCTTCTGACTGTAAACCAAAGTTCAGTTAGTCTACGAATTATTATCAAAATAGATTTCATGGTCAAGTCTTTCGCTGATTTTCCGTCCCCTTAGATTACTTTCGCAGCAAAAATTACTGCTTTACATTCTAATCAAAAACATAAGCTACCGTTATTCTGTGTTACTTACTATAGACAGAACACCGAAAAACCTGCAAGGCCGAGTAATATTCCTTCGGCCACTTCGACAAATACATTTCTCGACGTGTTGTTCGAATAAACCGCAGCCGTGGTGTGTACGTTCGGAAAAATGTCCGCGGGCGGTCAGGCCTTCTTCACTCGTTTCCTCGGGTACTTCCGCCCCACGCGTGTGAGTTTAACAAGTCTTGACAAGTCATGTTAGTCAATTATAATTTCTGTGCAGGCCCGACTTTTATTAACTGTGTTTGTTTCTTTGTTCCCCGGATAATTCTCCCAACACGACCAGCTACTTGAATGTTAATGCATAGGTTTACGGCTGCATTCAAGGACAACCGGTCAGGCACACGAGGACATGGGTTTCTAAGAATTACTACTTGGAATCGACCTTGTTTAGTTCTTTGCTTTGCCATAAGACTATAGTATCAGTTAATTGGTACCATAGCGCCCCGCGTGCCGGCCGAGGACCACAAAGTCCATAAACAACGGAACATGTAGTAGAAATGGTTAGAATTGTGCATCTGGTCGTAAGGCGCGTGTTTTCAAATATGTACTGGTTCGTCATAGCCTTGATAAGTGAAGGGGAGTTGGGGGTTAATCGATAAACCACAACCATTAACAGTGCTGCACGTTCCATTATAGGATAGCACCAACCTCTGTCTAGCCCTGTCCAATCAGCTTAGTGCGACTAGTGATCTTACTTAATAAGTAGGCACAGCATGTCGCAATTTCGCGAAGGGGCTGCTGGGCGGAGTGCGTCTGCAGTGATTACTGGCAAGAGTTAGCAAACCACAAAACTAACCACGAGCTAACGCATCGGGCCCGCCTTGAATGAGTGTGGTGCTGTCTGGGTTGCTGCTACACACCTAACCCTGACATGACCTTGGTTATGCCTGCGCTAGTCGGCGTTAGGGCTGGCAGTACTTCGTTAGGCTTGATGCTTAACAGACGTATATCTGGAAAGCTCGACCCACCATCTCTAGTTCTGATCAAGTTCCGGTAGTTAAAACACCACTCTGACGAAGTGTAGTAGAAGTTTGCGAACGGACCTCTTGAGTGCAGCAGTGTCTAATTTAGGGTTACACAAGATAGCCCGAGATATCATTATAGTGTTGTTACAAGCACGAGACGTCACCAAGACGGAAATTGTGCGCTTCAAACAATGGTCGAGAGCCTCCATACTCGCACGTTTTCTCCGCTCATAGTTTGCCATCGTAAGCGTAAGAGAAAAGTTACCGGCCGGATGCGCAGTACACGGGGATCTTGGTGACGATTGAGATCGCAAGGAGCCCGTAGACACCAAATGCTCACAGAAACCCTGCGATCAGCATATATTCGGGCCATGTCCTAACTGTCCGTCGGGCAGCAACTTGGTCCGGAGATGATGAAGGTTGTCCACTTAGTACTGAGTCGTTATTCATGAACAGCACCTTCCGAGTACAGTCAGTAATTGACTTAACTAGAATGTAGCCTTGGACGCTGTTGTAGCTAGAACCGTAGCAAGCACACGAGATGGATAGGACGAACAAATATGGATGCAAGAGTCAGAACGAGGATACCCTATAACAGGGCTTTATTCATCTTACAATTGACCTACTGGGACTAAAAGGAGAAATAGAAAAGTGGTGGATAAGCCTCGATTTAGCCAGGGCTTATGTTATCATGACAGACGCCAGCTGGAATATCGGACGGTTGCGAAGTGTTGCGGGACAAAACTCGCGGAGGGGAAGACCGAAGGTGGGTTTTGGTTAGTGATTGTTTTTTTGGGCAGTCGTCCGGTGCCAGTGTCCGCTGCAGGGACTCCTGAATGCAGAATAACGATCCATGATACGACATTCGTTAGAACTGACGCGTTCCGTAACCCTGGCCCAGTGATGCGGGCGGACTACTCAGCGGGAACGGACCCTAGGTGTTGGATACTGGAATGTGCGGTTTCTGGGCCCTGATATCCAAAGTCTGACGGCGTACAGCCTTCAACACGCGCCTCTAGCATCGTCGCAAACATCTGCTGACCTGGTACTCAAACGACGGTCATACGACCAGTCAGCTCGATTACATTCTAGTCAGGTTCAAGGTTTAGCAGCTGGGTTCACTATAGCAGATCGACGGCCAGTGCCGTGACTGGTAACGCCCATGGTTACGACCATGTTATCGTTTGGACAAAAAAAGTCGGCGACTTTATTGGTGACAACTGGAACGAGGCCTAACCAGACCGGATTTCAAGTTAGGCGTGGATGTGCTTACCGGATATTCGCACTGAGGCACATTCTGAAATCTCGTCATAGCCACCAACAACAGACGGTCGTCTGGTTTGTTGGCTTCGTCGCCGCGTTCGATTCCGTTTATCATGAGTCCCTGTGTGAATAATGCAACTAGATGGTGTGCGAGCCGAGATTCTCGCCATGCTCAAGATCTACTACCGCTCAACCGCCGCCCGAGTTTTTGTCTATAGCAGTCTCTTCCAACCGTTTGATATTCGGTCTGGCCTTTGGCAAGGCTGTATTCTGCCGCCCATTTTGTTAAAGTGCACCATTGACTGGATTATGGGGAACGCCCAACTCGAAGTTGACGGTGTCGAGTTTGCATCCTGCGGCCGGCTGACTGGTCTTGACTACGTTGGTATCGCTCTATTGGCTTAAAGCTTTGAAGGTCTACAGTCTCTGGTGTCCCAGGCGAATGAGGTTGCTAAATCTGTCGGTTTATCCATAGACCTCATGCAACATGTCCAATCACAGCCCATAGACTCTGGGAAGGCCAAACATGTTTCGAGTTGCGCCCCTGACCATTAGAAGATACCTCGAGATTAACGGCTGTCAACTTGAAGAAGTTGATAGTTTCAAATACATCGGGGCGAGACCGCTGCCGAATTGACAGTGTAAGGACGCCATTATCTCCCGAGTCGAACCTGTCTGCCGGGTTCTCTCAAGCCGTGTATCGTCACACGTGGAGAAGTACAGTCGTGGCACCATCGAGGCCGGCTAAATCAGACATGATCGTAGCCGTACCATTTACAAGTAAGCACCCAATAAACAGGATCAAATGCTGATACACTTTCACCAGTGCGACAAGACGTACGCTGTGGTAGTTTTGCACATTGTCTTGTTCTCCTCTTGAGGCCCGTCGAGATGGTAGCCGACTAGTTGGACAATGACGGCGGATTAGGTCTTGTTCGATGGCGGACAACTTTGACCATACAATACCGTTTGAGATCATGACTCATTTAAAAGTCATTGGCCTGCAACAGATTCATGGCCGCACACGAACGCATTATTTCTCCTTACTCTGTCATCCCTCATGCTTCACACCTGGGGGTTTGTTTATTTTACGGAAAACCGCTACACTGTCCACATGGCGGTCCACAACTCGCCAAATTTACAAGTACTTCTCCAGGTTATTTTCGCCGGAGTTTATCCCAGGAAACAGGTTTTTTACGAAAGATACTAGTCAACCAGATTTTACAGTCGATTGAATCGTGTCACCGAGCCCTTCTCTCCAGCTCACCTGAGTCGGTGACACTAGCTTTACTAGCTTTCTTTCGAGTAAGAATTTAATTACTGTTATCTTTTTAAGCGACAGTGAAGGTCACCTTGTTTTTGTTTCTTCTGGAACGTTTAGTCACGTGCTCACGTGTATTTGCAATGGCCTCGTTAACTAAAAATTCAAATTTCTCCGAAGATGCATCTAGCCAGGCGCTATCTATGGACATATTTAAAAACTCAAAAATTGCGTACAGTTCATACCTGAAAAGTGGACTGAAAATAACGATGACTGTTGAATCCATCCTAGGTGGAATTTGTGGTACTATTCGACTTGCGTATTTATGCATATGCATATATAAAATTCTGTAGTGGATGGTGACCTCGTTACTCACTTTATAAGCACCACTAGTAAGCATGCCGATACAACGCTGTATAATTGGAAGTTTCGTGGTCTCAAAAAAATCCCTCAATCAGAAGATTTCTTAAAACCAGACAATATCGTTTTTGGTATAAAATTTGAAGGCGTAATATGCTACCAAACGAGTGCAGGAGACTGCGATGGTCATTTCTGGCTCATTAGCCGTCGTCAGTCAGCCATACCTAGTCTCCAGACATGCAACTCATAGGGTTTGGTCCCGCGACCTGTTGGTTAGAAGTTCAATGCCCCAAATCTGAGCCACGGGCTCGTTGCCCTTTTGGTTGCGATCGAGATGTCGCACCCGTCGGGGTTGGGTATGGCCTGCTGACGACGGCTAACAAACCAGAAATGACCACTCAGATTTCTCCCTTGTTTCGTCAATGTTTTTCTGCCTATATTACGCGTTGCCGTACGCCTACTGGCAGGACTCGAGAGCGCCAAGGCACAACAGGACGCGTGCCGTAATGCGGTCTGTAAACGCCTCTCCACCATTGTATATACCCACGGTTGGCCGACGTCTGCGCCAGTACGCGTTAATTGCACCTCTTTGGCTGTGTTCGTTCGAATTTATCACTGAAGATTTTCTCTGTGGCATCTAAGTTGATATGTCGGTTGATGCGTGCCCCATCTGAGTGTATTTCCCCCAGGAATTCACGGCCCTTCCTTATTTGACAGGCGCCAACAAGGGGGTGTTATGCAGCGCAAATTTGTGCCCAGTGTGTGCATGACCACTTAAGTAGACGCCCTCTCATCTTCACCGCTAATTGATGTTCGTGTATACGGGTTGGTAGATAGACGCTCACCACTTAGGTTACAGAACGTGCTCGTCCCGTTGTGCTTTGGTGCTTAAACTAGAACCCTCGCAGGCAGTCGCATGGCGACCATTGGTATAGGTAGGTACTATTATTGGACATGTTGCATGAGGTTCATGCAACATGTCCAAAAAAAACGGTAGGTAAGGCGAAACTGTCAGAGACACGGGAAACCGGGATTTAAGCATTGTCCACTTCTGATTATCATAATCTCACATTTCTCCATGTCAGTGCACTATTCGTATAACATTTCATAGTGTATTTATTAAATTGCTCCTTCACGAAGACTTCCAGTCCGAGGATTATAAATGCAGTCTTCCTTGCACCCTTTCGGTCACTTCACAGTCGCTCGTCACTAACGAGAACTTCTGTCGCGTTCCATCCTTTGACTTTTTACACCAGTTTGGTTTGGAATGCTTCTAAATCAAACTGCTAAACTATGGTCTGTTTTTTGTGGCCATTCACAGTACGAACCCAGGCGCTCTACCATGGGCGGCAGTAGTCTTTGTAGCTGACGAGCAGTCTATGCGGTCAATACACGACCATATTTCAGGCCACAGCGTAATACCGGGTCCTTTCTGGTATCTCCCATCAGTTATAAATTGCGTAGTGTTAGTTTGCAACGTGTGTTGCCTACAACCCTTAAGACCTTCGGAAGTACAGGGCTGCTACTTTTGTGGGATGTTGCCATTTTCACATGAGCCTTTCGATTTAATGACGCTTTGCGTACAGTCTGAATGATTCATTTCATGCCCCCTCGACTATCAACTCCTTCTGCAGTCTGGATTACGAACAGGCTGCTATCGCGCGCTAGCTGTTGTTGGCGCTACCGCCTTTGGAGCTGCAGTTTTGGCAACTCCAGTGCTGGCTACCGAGCTGGTCGCACACCCAACCAAATTACCCTGGCCACAGAACGGACCTCTGGCAGCTCATGATCATGCAGCACTGCGCCGTGGTTACCAGGTCTACAAACAAGTTTGTGCTGCCTGCCACAGTATGAAGTTCCTGTCCTATCGTCAACTAGTTGGCCATGTTCTCACGGAGGATGAAGCAAAGGCCGACAGCGCCGAGGTTAGTTTGTACCTGGGAAAATCCCAGAATGCGATTTAATGCTGACCGCTGTTTCATTTACGTACTCAACCTTATTAGACATGCACTAATGGCTCTGCAATGTTTTACTTGATAGTTCGACCGTCTTTGCTGACAATGTCCACCGTTTGATAAACAGCAAGGTGCAACAGGCACGGTGACCTGCGCGTGAATTAGTTTATAATGATAGTATACTTGCGCGGCACCTACCGCACTCCCCACCTGGGCCCGGTGTCAAGACAGTTACAAGGACCGGAGGTGGGGGGGGGGCGGGTGGATGGTACGGTGGAGCCCGCACCCTGGCGTTCCACTCCACACCCTCTGGTTCACACAACAAATGACCAGGTTTTTGACCAACAGCAGCAACAACACCCCAACAGGGGTCAGGAGAACGAGGATGACTGGGCAGCCATGCCCACTACCTGCATACCCAGCGGGAGCGCAAGCACATCTGCCGGCAGGGAACTGCCAACGCATGCCAGGCTGCAAGGGCCATGAGTTGCTGATACTGGCATAGCACACGCTTTCAGACCTTTTGACCTAGAAGGGCGACACGTGGCCATGCATTTAGCCCGGGCCGTCACCATTCAAGGTTACGTAACCAAACAGTTGTCGACTTAGGCACCACCCATAAGGCACACACACTCTCCTCGCATACATCAGAGAGTCACAGGTCGCTTGAGAAGGGGCCGTGACAGCCTGGCTCTCAGTCCACCAGTCCGCCACTCCACACAACACACACACAACTGGGTCAGTCTGCGTGGGCTGAGTTGAGGCGTCAGTCGGTTGCACTCCGAGCCACAACGCTTGACGCACCCTCTTCGTCCCAGATTCCGATCACACATGCAGCAAGGGAGCCGCATGGTGAAGGGGTCGAGACACACACTTCCCACTTGCGTGGGAGGTGGCAGAGTGCTTTACTTACCCTTGTAATGTCGCACACACCAAAAACGTGAAAAGTGAAGTGGACAGGAACTCGGTTAAAAGTTTAGAATGCCATCCATCTTGTCGGAACTAAGAAGCCCAGAAGATCACGGTGTAGGTCTAACGGCAAAAGGACGGTTTGTTACATCAAACCAGCGCTGTTGTATCGGTTCATTGAAAACCTGCTTCTGCCAGACTCAAGAAACTGCCACTGAGAATTAACGTTACTGCGTCAACTCCACACGAAGCCCAACGCGGATTCCGCGAAACACGGATCAGGCCGTATCTGTATCTATACCTAAAGTTCTGCCCATTTGTCAATAGGAAATTGTCGTGGTCGGAGACGTTTTTCACCGATCGTGTATTGGTAGACCATTTTGTCTAGCGCCAAAGCAATAAGCTGGGTAAACTGCTTATCCCCAAAAGACAAGTCTAAGACTACGAGACATGCCTTAGGAAACTTACAGTTTACAACCCAAGACCGTTGAAGCCATCCCTGTCATTAACACTTCAGTAAGTTAAACAACTGCCTCCCCCCTTCGCCTAGATTCTGGTGGAAGATGGGCCGGATGACACGGGCAAAATGTACATGAGGCCCGGCAGGTTGTCAGATCTCCTGCCCTCCCCCTACCCTAACCCGGAGGCCGCCAGGGCCGCCAACGGAGGCGCT